AAAAAAAAAAAAAAAAACAGATCGTCAAAGGCAATGTTCGTAGAAGCAAAAGCACAATCTCTGTCAGCCAAGTTCAGAAACGTTTCAAACATTGGAGCAATTCACATTTTACCTTCGATTTCACAATTGAAAAATTTATATCACATAACTGTCGCCACGATACCTAACAGTCGTATCACAAATTCGAGAATCTTAGCTTAGATTTAATGTCAGTTAAATTTCGATCGAAGAATGTCCTCTGTCCCTTTCCTATCTACTTCAACAGATTAAATCGAATGCTAGCTTTATATTTCTCAAAACGTGCAGATGCATTGCGTTCTAATATATTGTTAGTCTTATGTCATATTTATTATAAAAATTCTAAAAACGCTCGTGTTTGTGTGAATAAATCGAGTCGGGTTTAAAATGGATTTAAAAATTTCGTAGCGATTCAAACTGTTTAGAAAAATACATCGTATTGATCCGTGATGAAAAAATCAAATTGTTTCTTGCGGTAAATAGAAATTTTCCGACTTTCAGAAATGCGTTGTGGTCTGATGTATGGGGGTTATGGGCCGACAGGAGCTGCGTGGTGGGCTCGGCACGTGAGTCTCTTGCTTCCCCATTCTCTGGTACCACCCTCGAGGATTCCTAACCAGCAAACTACACCGGTTGCAAATTGCTCACCTATTCACCCGGAACCCCTGAACACGTCCAGAGCTGGCTCACCACCCCGGAGATGCACCCCGGAGAAGACGAAGTTCGGTGAGAATTTTAATCAAAGAGGCAATTTGTGCGGGACAGAATTGAACGGGATGACTGTGAAAATTGATTTGGCCGATTTCATAGCGTGAGAATTGAGTGGGATGGGAGAAAGATATTGTTTCAATGATATTAAGTACAGTGTATCATTATTTGAGGAAATATCGCGATCCCTTAGCTTGCAGTTTTTCGTAATTGTTTTCAGTCATGATATTTATTTATTCTCATATTTCTATTATCTAGTAAATAATTCTGATATATTTTACATAACACTTATTAAACCAACACGGTAATTGCTTCAAAAAAAGAATTCGTTTGATTAACTGATAACAGAGATTTGCAAAATAATTAAATTACTCTAAAGAAATAGATCGCGAAATAAATCACGTTTAAAGTATTATATTATTTAGTTATCAGCAGGAAGGAACTATGAAAATAATTTATTACAAAAAGCCATAAATCACTCGATTATTGCCAGACTTAGCGCATTCTTCTTAATTCAGTTTCACAATTCTTAAGAGAATCCTTATCAATCTTACAAAAGTAGGAGAGAAAATTAAGTTACTCCTCAAATATGACAATCAAATTTATCCTGTTATAATCTCGAAATCTCGAAACTCCATCGGGATCCAATTTTTTTTTTTTTTTTTTTTTTTTTTTAAACGAATAGTCAACGAAAAAGAGTGGAAGTATCACGAAGCCTTGAAAAAAAGACACTGGTAATTTTGCCATAATTACAGTTGTGCAAGCACTTGGTTATCGTCATCCATATTTACGCGTTATCGGTATCGGTAACAAAGAGGGAACCTGTTCTTAAAAATAATTATTATAAATCAAAATAATTATTACATTTTGCTGTTCAATTTCGATAATTGCCCAGTGATTGTGAAATGAACCTTTTTGCGCAGTGTACGATAGCGAGGTTAGAATTGCATTCGTGCATGATAGAATGCTTTACTATACATAGTGAATAAATTTCCCTTTCTCTGGATTTGAAAAGAAAATTACCTGCTGATTGCATTTAAAATTACTGGAAATCAAGAGATCCTACTCTCTGTTGAAGTTGGAGTAGCGAAATAGCTTCTTTTCGAATTCGATTTTCCAGATGAAGAAGCGCCGTTAAATTTGAGTACGAAGCCGAATGACATTTCGTCCACCGTCGGTCGGAAGAGTGAGATTTGGTCACCAGGAACGGTTTGCGAGAGAGAGGCAAAGGAAATCAGGATACCATCGTCCGGGAGTCCATCCTCGACTCCTGTGATCACTCGGCAAATCCATCATTCACCGCTGACACCGCCCTCCTCGTCGGAAAGGACTTTCCAGGTGAGTTTCGTCAGATTCCTTTCTTCCCTCAAGTTTCGATGGGGCAAAATTCGTGGAAAAAATATAATTAACTCGAGTGTTCGTTGTAATAGCGAAAAAAAGGTATTTTTATTTGTTAAATTCTATATATTTCTTTTTCTAATTCTTCGACTCGTAAAAGCATAAATTTGCAGAAAGATCCGCGATACATTGATCAAATAATGAAATTGGAGAACAAATGCGAGTCTAAATTTTTAGATTTTTCTTTAATAATTTTTCGATGTAAAATTACTCTTCGATTTTAAATCAGTCATGAGCCTTTGTTTCAAAGAAATCGAAAGAAAAGAAGGGAAAAAGGGAGATACTGTCTGATGGGAGCTGATTCGAATTGTCAAGCAGTTAAGAATGGCGGACAGTTTTTTTCGGAGAACACGGTGGAAATATCGCTCTGGGAAATCTTTACACGAGCGACGCATCCTATTCTCGATCGCTGAGTTGATCGTCAAATACAAATATTCGCGTTCTTTTACGAGCTTCACAAATGCTTCCTCCGAGGTTCGGTACCCTGCTGCAGCTCGTAAAAGAGAACGCGATCAAGTAGAGTTACATTCCGAATAATATCAATTTTTCCAATTTCTTTCTCTTCTCTTTTTGTACTCTTTTACACAGCGTTCAGTAATTTAGTAATATTCATATTTCGTAGAATTATTTATTGGACAATCTTTTTGACTTATTTTTTATTTGTGTAGAAAATTAAAACCAGGTCGAATCTGTCCA